AAAAAAAACAGCACTAAAATTAAAATCTGCTGTAATTATATCACAAATTTTACAGGCAAACATATATTATGGATTTCTGAACACGCTGATTAATGTTATAATAAAATATAAATAAATTTCCTATAATAACAAGAGCCAAGGACGTAGCAAGAGATATATCAACTTACTTTCAGTAGCCTATGCAACTGGAATCTAATTTCTTGCTTTTCCTTGGGATCAACTGATGCTTCCAACCTGCGTTCCAAAATAGCAACTGGCACATGATGGCTTGGTACTGCATCCTACAAAAAAAAAGTCTGAATATGCAATGACAGCTCTTAGCTTAGACCCAATCAGCGATACATGTATTATCATCCTCCATACTTTCACATAAAATTAAAAATTACTTCACAGTACTGTTCACAACCTTCTACCCATTTACATAAATCAGACTGGTGGACAGTTCATGGCAGCATATCCATTACATCTGATGTGGATAAAATACTACTAGTTGATTCAAGAAAAATGAGTCATGGCAATTTAACAATCACACTTGAAGTCGAAGAAATGCTACCTTTAAACTTATGTTACATTCGTTTTAACACGGGTCTAACCTGTTGACAGTTACCAGTGTAGTTCGGTTAACTTTGACCACATTAACACTTTAAAGCCCAGTGGTAATTTATATTACAAGTTTCTTTATCAACCAGTAACTCTACAATTTATACTTACGGGTTTTGTATGATCCTCAATGCAAATATTACAAAAATTTTATGGAAACTAGAAACTCCAATATACCCATATACCAGTAATATGATGACAGCAATCTGAAATCTTAAGTTCACGCCAAATTTACAGAAAATGAATAACACAACGATGAGAAAATTAACAAAAATGTATCTTTGATTTGGGTAAATGAAAATCTCTAAAGCATTATAACTTACATTGATTGGAGGCAGCTCTGTTTTGGGTGAATTAAGGTTGCTGGTTTGATAACCTAGGAAGTCAGAGACATGCATTGATCCAATATCCAAATCTCCATATTCTTCAACATGGCTTGTGTTGGTATCAGATCGCACAACTTCATACTGATGATGCAAAGTTTCTTTGAGCAGATTCTCCTAACAAAAGTAAAACAAACACTAGTTACTAGAAATGATATAAAATGTACTGACATCTGTACAAAACAGAAGTAAAGTTATTGAAATGTGTCACATACAAAAAATCTGCACTTAGCACTTTCAAAGTAAGTGTCAATGAATGTATTCAACCCTCACAACTTTATTCACAGACAATAATCCCAGATTTATACATCACTGCTTCAAAAAATTGTGCTATTCAGATTATTTATTTCTATGACAGATAACTATGAAAACTCAACTGTTCAAATAAGTACTGCCGCCATATGGTACAATCTATGAAGCATCAAGAAGTCAGTTTGGTCTCACGAAAGCCATACAGTCACAGTTTTACTACAACACCTAACAGTATGCACAACAACAACTATACCTCCTCAGAGTCCTGCATCCACATTACACTGAAAACATCACCCAGGTAAGTTTCTCGTGTGTTGTCAAAGTAACAAGCATATGAAGATTCTTTTGGGTCAGCTGCAGTCACTACAAAGACTGTAACAAAAAGAAAACCATGTGCAGTGTAATATCAATTCATTGTCCGAAATTTAACATTTTCTCTCATTTAACAATCAATTTCTAAGGTCTGAAGTTAATAATCTCAGTTTTAAATTATTATCTTCACTTATGGTTTCCCTCACTTTGGTGTTCAAATATATTGTCCCACAGACAAACAATATGCTTTCACTATTATGTTTTTCAGCGGAATTGGCGGCTGAGTCGAGTTCTGCTCTTTGTGAGTGACCAATCAGCGCAAAGGAGGTCTGTTGATAAGCAGCTAGACCTCAGTCTGTTAAGAAACCCCGCGGTAGAAACATCGGCAGCCACACTGCGTTGTTGCCAGTTCTTACGTGTACTTTGATTAGTGTTATAACCATTCACTGGAAACCAATGCTACATCTTACACCATGGTATACTGTTTCCTCACCTTCTCGCCCCTCCACCTCCCTCCTTTACTTCCTACCAAGGCACAGTACATGTGATTGGTGCACGCTCCAGCCACCAATTCGGCTGAAAAGCATTATAGCTCAAATCATATAGCAATGCACGACAGGATTTCTAAGAAGTGAAAATTACATGGCCGTTGATACATTATGCATCAGAAGACGCACCATCTTAGCAGCCTATTCTGAGGTAAATTTTACATACTAGCAACACACTGCAATATATACATGTTACACATAGCAACATCAGATAATGGTTAACTCAGTTTTGCATTGTATATAATTTCTAATGCACAGTTCATATTCACATTACCCACTAAATTTAAATATACATACTTTTCAAATCATCTGGCAGGAGGCTGTCAAACATTGAACCAGATTCGCAAGCCTCCACGTAAAAAACAAGCTGAACAGAAAACACAATGGCGACATTTAAATTTCACAAAATATTACAAGTAAAAAGAAAATTTTTACCATCTTATTCCTCAACCAAGTTCAGTGTTCACTTATATCTTCCACTATTCACATACATTTGGGATTAATGGATCTGTACACAGTTCAAATTTTAAACTTTATTTGCTTTTGGACATTCACATTTGAGAAGAAAAAACAAAGAAAAGCAGAATGCCCATAATATACACAAAAGAAAACTTCACTCTGGCTGAAAGAATTGTTATGATATTTCATATTGGTGGACCTCAACAAACTGATTTCAAAAGATCTTTTATCCGTACTGGATAATTTGGATTACAACACACATGAAAACCTAATCTTGGGATATGAAAAAAATTTGTTTCATGTTATACAGACCAAAAGCACATAATTTTATGGTTTTATTCAACTAACCTTACAAGAAACAGTTCAGTACAATCTTCAATTTACAAATTGACAATTCATAACTTAACTGAAGCAAAACCATGGCCCATGGTCCAGTGACTGAGGTTAGCTCTTTCTAATGGACCCAACTGAGTAAGTGCCTCTTCTCCCTCTTTATTTTACCTGATGATGGAAACAGATCCAGTTTCCGAAACACTATGATTTTGAATATCAGACACTGGACAAAGTCTATAAACAAGGTATTTTTAAATGTAGTACACCACTGTCAGAACCCCTTAGAACTGATTTATAGGCCTTTGAATTGTAACAGGGACAATGTGAAATCAGTATAATCTAATAATCTAAGCTCTAGCACCATGACCAATAAATACGCAAATACAAAGAGATTTTTAAATAAATTTGACAAATTAGTCACGGAAAGAGTTAAGTTAAAGACTGTCTGCTTAGTTAGTGTTTAAATGTATCACGACTTAAACAATAATCTACCACAAGTCAGACGATACTGTACAGTGAAGACTTTCATTGATAAACAACGGCTGAAATACAATTCTTCCTGCCATATTTTGGCTTAAAAGTACATTCTGCAAACTTCAAAGTATTCACATAACAGAGTACTGGACAGATTTAGCAACAATAGTTTCAGCCTTACCTGTGCAAATTGCCTATTAACTGCAATTTTTCTCAAAGCTTTTTCAAGATCATCAGCATAAAGCTCATCGCTGGGAAAGCCGAGAATCCCCGGTGCACCATGGTCGACAAAGTTAACAAATACGTGATCATTTGGTCCACTGCACAAATAATTTCACAGAAGAACATGTTACTAAAGTATCTAAAATTAATAAATCATTACAAACTGTGATATACGTTTGGCCTTTTGGCTCTGACATCAATGTGTTTATTTTTGTGCATTAAAAATGCATTTAGATGTTCCCTGTTGTTTTTAGATGTAATTTAAATTTCACAGTAATTCATGCAGACACAGCATGTCCTGCCTGAGTGACTGATGCAACTAATATATGAAACATTACAAAAAAAAGTTTAAGTATATATGAATCCAAGGAGGCATAACAGTACAACAGAAATCTTGAAAAATAATCAAGGAGGTGTATAATTTAAATACTATATTCCTCAAAAGGTCATTATAGGGAAGTCTCATACCTCTGCTTCATTCACATGTCATTTAACAAAACTGTATCAACTGCAAAGGCTTTTTAACATTAAATAGATTGAAAGTATATTTATTTATGGAACTGGAGAGGACTGGAAATGATGTGGTCTCGTGGCTTTTGCCTGGAATAACTGAGTAAATCTACAAAAACTTCAAGCAGGATAGCTGGTGATTTAGCTAAGATTCAAACCTGTACCTTCCAAATAAAAATCTAGTGTGTAATCACTAAATCAACATGCCTGATCTACTGCCTTTTATAATACACTAAAAGCTAAATGTACACATCCAGAAAGCTAAACCATTACTCAAACCAACTGCTATAATAAATAAAGCAAATAAATAAATAAATAAATAAATTCAAACCTTTCAATTACACGTCCTGATCCGATTCCTTTCATTCCTTCCACATCACCTGTCAAGACTTTCAAGAAGTTGGTGGAATTCACAGTCTACAAAGCAGAATCAAACAAAATCAAGTCCACAGGCCACATGGCATGAGTATGCATATGTACTGCAAAGGGCAACACTACGTTTCAATTTAATAAACACCTTGAACGCATCTGGGTCCGATGTGTGATCATTAACTGAACATTCTGTTATGATCACAACAGTGTGGCAATTCAATTTTCAGTTTACAGCTAACAAAGACATACAAAAAAAATCACTTAATTAAACATAGACTATCAAGATTTTGGAACAGAAATTAACTTCAGTACTTCCTATAATTCTGACATCATAAATGCTTTTGCTTCTCTGTTTTACTACAGCTGCCACCCGTCTCCATGCCTAAGAAACAACTTTTCTACAGACTGCAGTCGGATATGGTCGGAAATGGGGAACCATAGCACCTTGTAGATTTCACTGTCTGATAATATATCTAAATATGTTACATATGCAGTCAAATGTTTAAATAAATTAGAAGTTTTATCAAAAATAAAATTGTACCTCTCCAGTGTAATCCTTTGGAACTCCATTATAGACATCAGATCCATTTGGCTGATTGATTATAATTCCTTTTGTTGGATTCCTACATAAATCATGGAAAATGATTAGATGGATACTATAAAAGCATTATATTGTCTCGGATTTTTTAATTATAATTAATCACGTCAATACGAACTTATATCCATGGGTCGCTAACATAGGTTCAGTTCATCAGTCAGACAAAAATTATAGTCGCCAGAAATTTCCTTCAGAAGATAAAACATGCCTACCCAGAATTTGATTTTCTACACAACAGTCTACTGACAAGCATATAACATACAAGACACATAAAATACGTAAACAATTCTTATTGCAACATTCATCAGACAAGAATATATATGTCCAAACTCTTGTTACAGATAAATCTAAATGAATTATTTGGTGCAGATATTGTTTGAAAATATTCTGGGTGAGAAGTAAGTAGGCATTGAGAAATGGTTATAACCTCTATATTTCCAATGTATAGCGATTATTTAATGCCTACTTACTTCCCGCACAACCTGTATATGCCAGATGCCACTGAATTTGTGCTTCTACAGTGATACTTTATGATAGTTGTTAACTAATATAAGACATGGTAGTAGTGGTAATACTGAATATTTATATATAAATGATGATAGTTGTTTTAAGAGTTATATTGCAGTTGCAAATATCCATGTAACTGATCAAGGTATACCAAGTTAATGAACTTACTGAACATTATATGCTATGTCATCATACATCATGACAATAATATTGTCATCTGGAATACCATTCTTATGAAGGATCTGATAAGCATGACAAACATCAGCCTGTAAACAGAATGTAATTCAGTCAAAATACAAGCAAATATAATAACAGAATTGTTATTGCAACTTTCATTTTCAATTAACGAAAATCATGATTTCAGTAACCACTTCACACATCAGACATCTTTAACATCACAGCAGAGTATAGTATAGTTTTCTGTGAATACTAATTTGAATTTTCTAATGTAAAGCTATCAGCAAACTGAATCCCTTGAAAGGCAAATTTCTTAACACAAACTCAATCAAGTTCTTGCACATATGAAATTCTGTGGCCAGCATGGTCTAATAGTCAACACACAAACCAAGGATTCAAAAGGTCCTGAGTTCAATTTCAAATGTCACCAATAATCTTAATAAAAAAAATCCAACAGTATAATCATCCACATGAACATAGGAGTACGGACAACTCTCAAAATGTTGTGCTTATCAGTTACATCCCGGACGATGTCCAAAAAAAATACTGATATAATTAGTCACAATCACATACAACTGAATTCCTTCAACTTAAATAACACAGTTCAGTAACGCTGCATTTTGAGAACTAATAATCTTCAAATACTTTAAACCAAAAAGAACTTGGCAACATATAAAATTAATTATACCTGATGTCTATAGTTGTTATATTCATTGGACCCAGCTACCAACAGGGCCCAAATTTTTCCTCCATTTTTAAGCTGATATCCACACACTGAGCACAGGAGCAGCAGTGATGAAATCAGTACTACAACACCTCTATACATGTTCAAAACCTGTAATACATAAGCATTGCAGAGCACAGGGAAACATTGAATTTTAGGCTTTATGTATTTAATCAGAGACCTTCAGTTTCAGAATGTGTATGTCCTCAGTTTTCAAACAAAAGACACAATGTCAAGATATGGAGTGCAGCTACAAATATGTTGAATAAACAACCATGAAAAGCCAATAACAGGGGGGGTTATCCAATGAGGGAGATGGATGCAGCCAACATCCCCTCACCCTAAAGAACTGTCACAAAAGACCTAGATACATTCTTCAACACAAAATAAGCAACAGAAAATGTGGAATGGATTCCACTGCCTCAAGACAGTATCCCATGGTCAGCTGTTGTGAACAAGATAATGAACACTATGTCTCATGAAAGTTTTCAAGATTAATTATTTTTATACTGGAACTTAACATTTAATTCACCAAGGATGAACTGCTGAAAGACAGATTTGGTTTCGTTTGTGGATATTATTTTGGTATGTTTTACCCTAACTTAAACTGATTAAAAGGATTGCAGTTTTCCTTGTTGCTTCTTGCTTTATTTATTCTTTGTAACTCTAAATTGTATCCGTATATGATTTTATACATTGTTGCATAATATAACTGATACACAAAATTCTCACTTCAATTTTTTCCTTTATTCAAGAACCTTGTTTTTCTCAAAGAGCTTACAAAATTGAACGCTGTGACACTTAATTTGTAATCAACTGCTACTTAAACAGCAACAAACTCTGGCTTAAATGTTCAGTTAATCTCTTATCACTTCAGATGTACAGTTTTTCTCTTAGAGTCTATAACATTGCACAATATTACAATCATTTACAACTAATAACTATTTAAACAGCAGAGAATTTTATCTTAATTCCCATCTTCATTTTTTTCAGTAGGTGTTTTAGTCTAAGAGTTTATAAAATTACATAATGTTACACTAATGTATCAACAAGCTATTTAAAAAAACATCAAATTTTAACTAAAATTCTCTTCTTAATTTCTTGTCTATTCAACTGTACTGCAGTTATCCACAAGTTTTTAAAACTGCAGGTAACTCACATTAATTTTATTATTATCACCCATTTAGAGAACAGCAGATTTTGGGGAATTCCTGTCTGGAAAAAGGAAGTTCTCATGAAGAAATCTATTATGCAACTAATGTGAAACAAGTACACCTACCTTAAAAGCCAGTGCTGAATTCTTCTGCAGGACTTCCCTGCTTTCACAGTAAATGCCTCAATACAATAACACACAAGGAAAAGCCAGACTTTATTCCCCACCACATAACATGACCCTGACTACTGTGATGACTAGTGATCACATGCACCTGGGAATATAAACAACTTGTGAATGCTCTCCATTGGGGAGAATTCCAAAGAGCAGAAACAAAGAGAACTTACACTTTTTTTTAAAAAAAATCAAGTTATACATGGAGAATAAATTGCTTTAAATTAACTTCAATCACAATACCAAATACCTTTATATGTGTGCTAAGTACAAACTATATTGTACCCAGTGTGCTAGACAATGGTTTTACAGTACTTCACAAACTAAAGTACTGACATAATTCAAACTTTTGTAATAATTCTTCCTGAATCTCACAAACCTACACATTGTTTCAAAACTGTATTTAACTTTCCGACCGACAACTAAGGAACCACTGTCATCCATGCAAAATTTGGAAAGCAGATGGATGATAATCATTCCCTCAAATTATTGCACGCTTTAAATTTTGAAGTAAGTCAACTACTTTAAGTATGGTCATGGAGAAAAACTTTGAGGTTATATCCGATAAATTTAACTAAAACAATCCGCTGAAAAGCAGTACATTCTTTCTAAAAATATAATAATAAATAAAACTATATTCTAACAATAGTAACCACTTTATAACATATTTACTATAGCAAACAATAATCTACGTGACCCAACTGGAAATCAATCGTATGAACATACCCGATCGACACCTGAGCCTTGTTTCTAACACTGGATAGTCCATATATTGAATTCAGTGCTAGACTTTGTTTTGTTTCTGTCCCGAATATGCCATGCCCAATCACAAACTACCAAAACAGCTTCTGGTTGTAGAATAGCGAATGTTTTGTTGAGATACATTAAATAATGGAACTAGATAACTTAAGGATTTTTCGCGAAGGTAAGTAAAATGTGCCAATTCTTGTTAAAATGTAACTTTGAAACAGAATTAAGTTTTGATGCAAGGTTAAATGGGTATAATACGTAAGTTTCAAATAAAAATAGGTTAGTCGACTTTGTAATAATAGATGTCTAATACAGAATCAGGGTAATATTGTATTCTGTGTTTTATATCGTAAAAAATAAGCCAAACAAAACATAAAAAAAATATTTTTTTCCCCCATATTGGTGACAATCATGCCCATCGGATTACTTATGATATTTATGTTACTGGGTTTTAATAGCTCAAGGTATAGTGCCTTACTTTTCATGAAATTAGTTATTAAGAAAGCTTCAATTCTTTTATAAACCAGACTGTTTTGGCACTTCTGTTACAAGTGGTATCAGGTATTTAATTTTCTATTTAAGAGAGGACAACATACACAAATTGTTCTGACCAACCTTCAATAACCATATTTCATCAGAACCTCAACTTGTCACTAATGTCACCTATATTAATAAGAACTAGTGAGAAATATTTACACTTCAAGCAACTGTTGTTGTGTTAAAATAATGACAGTATAAAGCCATTGCTACTTTAAGTGGATCTAGTTGTATTTGGTTTGTTACCGACAGGGGAAGCTTGGTATAAAATAATTACATGGAGCAACTTTTCTTTTGTAATATCCTTGCTTTTCCTTTTCCTGGAAAATATATAATATGTCAGTAGAGTGTTTTCTATTAAATATGAAGACTGGTATGCCAGAATTTTACAGTGAATGTAAAACAAAAACCATTGCAGTTTATCATATAGACCTATGTAGGAGGTTAACTTTACACATAAATCCATTATTTGAAGATGAATTTCATGCTTTAGTCCTTTGAAGCTTAAATTTGATTTTGTATTTATTTTTAGAAGATACTGGTAATGAAATTATCATAAAGGTAGAAAGTGGAAATGTAGAGTCCATGGACAGTAGTGTCCAGATTGAAGATTTGGAGTGTAAAGGGCAGCTGTGCCGTTTATGTGCAAGTAGCATCAGTACAGGCATATATATATTCAATGGAACTGGAAGAGAGCAACATCTTGCAGACAAAATCAACACATGCCTGCCAGTATCTGTGAGTATATAATTATCAAATCATGATTATGATAAACTGCAGTGAGTATGTTAGAATCTTGTAAAGTGTGTTTCATGTACTTAGAGAAACTAAAAATGTAGAGCTTCTACAATAGTGGCATTTCTTGTATGCAATTGTTTTTTAAAATGGTCACTGCACTTATGAAATGGGCCTTAACATTTTTCATTATTCATTAATTGGCAATGTTACTTTCTTCCCCCAGGTTAAAGTAACCGATTTACTACCAAAGCAACTCTGTGTGCCATGCAGCAACAAACTAAATTTTTGTTTTGATTTTGCTGAGTCTTGTGTTAAGGCTGAGAAGAAACTAAAACGAATAATGAAGATTCATCCATTGGAATTCCCAATAACTTCCCCATTGACTGCTACTTACAATTATTTTAGTCATCCCTTTAGAAATGATAGTGAAGATCATATTACAGACAGGCAGCAAGATAAATTAAGTGAGTTAACTGGTGGTAACAAAGTATATTGTTGTCCATTATGCTGTGAAGGGAAGATGATTCTTCAGAAAGGTATTTGTAATGCAGAAGAAATAGATTTAGCAAACAGTTCTCAGTTCAATACAAATGGTGAAATTGTTGAAATGTTTGACTTGACAGAAGAGTATTGTAATAAACTTGAAAACTCTGAATTTGCAAATGTCAGTCTAGTCAATGATGCTGAAGAGAATGATAGCAGAGATGAAAAGCATTCCAGTGATGAACATAACATCGAAGATATTACTTCTTGGTCATTTCTGTGCCGTTTTTGTGGTGATTTTTGCCCAGACTTGTATTCCGGCTTAGCTCACTCAAAGTACCATGTGAATGACAGTGGTTTACCATGTGTTCTTTGTGAAACATATTTTACAAAGGAAACAGATGTGGAAAATCACTTCAGAAATCATAATTCTGAAATGCTCAAAAAACTTGGTAGACTACAAAATGAACAGACTTTGCAGAAAAATAAAGCACTTGTACCTGATGATGCAAAACTTTGCAAATGTGCAGAATGTGGCAAAATATTTGGTACAGTAGAAAGACTTTCATTTCATACCCAGTTTCACAGTGGAGTGAGAACTTTAATTTGTGAACGATGCAAAAAAGAATTTAGTAGTGAGAATATGATGTTTCGTCATATGAATTTAGTTCATGGTGGTACTGAAACTTGCAAGAAATGTGGTGCCTCTTTCATGTCTAAAGTTAAGTTAGATTCTCATGTCTGTCAACTTGTGGAACAGCCATTTAGATGCAAGATATGTAGAAAGCAATTTAAAGATACTACAATGTTGAGAAAACATACAGCATCTCATAACTTCATTGTAGCAGAACCCTTTCAGTGTAATCAGTGTGACACCAGTTTTGCTTGTGTTTCCAAACTCAGTATGCACGTACAGATTACCCACTGCAGACCCCTTACTCCTCAGATATGTGTTAAATGCAATGTATGTAGAGCAGTGTTCCCAAATATGGAATATGCCTTATTACATATTCAAAAACATGCCACATCTGACTTGTTGATTGATGTTAAAAGTGTTGAAGAAATTGAAGTAAAGATGTTGTTCTGTTGTGTGTACTGTGAAGCACTGTTTTCACACATGGAGCATTTGTTCCAGCATACCTCAGAACACTCTGGTTTCAACCCATACCATTGTTTATATTGCAATATGCTCTTCCCAGACCACAGCCAAATGAAATTTCATAAAAAATATCACTTGAAACATGACAGTCAGTGCAAGAAACTGAGCTTATTTTCAATCCCCCTATTGTATGTATGTGAAAAGTGTGAGAAAAGTTTTAATACATGGAAAGGATTGCAAACACACTACATTTTACACAGTGGTTTTCACAGAGGAAATTCACAAAATAAAAAATGTAGGGTTGAGGAACCTGAATTTCACCTGTGTGAAGACTGTGGAGAGAGTTTTAAGAAGCAAACTGACTTGAGACGACACCAGTTGAAAGAACACCGCCCACAAAACAGGTTTCCATGTGAAGAGTGCGGTAAGGTGCTGTTACACTACTCTGGGCTCATCATCCACAGGCGCCAGCACACTGGGGAGAGACCTTTCATGTGCGACGTTTGTGGAAAGAGTTTTCCGCAAGGTCCTGCCATGTATACACATCGACGAACACACACACGAGACTACCCGTATAGATGTGACATATGTGGACAGACGTTCAACAATAAAGGTGATCTTAATAATCACCGTCGCTCAAAACACACCAAAGAACGCCCCTTCAAGTGCAATGTGTGCAGTAAGTCCTTTCTGACTAGCAGTGTGTATTACCAGCATAAACAACTGCATGCTGGCATCCGCAAATACAAATGTACACATTGTGATAGATCCTTCAGCCGATGGAATGCACTGAGTATTCACACCAAGTCGCATACTGGGGAGAAGCCTCACGCTTGTCATGTGTGTGGCAGAGGATTTGCACAGAAAGGTGACATGAAGAAACACATGAGGACCCAGCATGGAGTAATAAAATGAGTATAGCAGTTTTTTGCCAGAAGTACAAATACATTTGCAATCGCTTTATTGTAATTTAATGTGTCTTTTGTAACTGTCAGAAATGTTTCAAATGTGGTAGATGGACTCACAAAAGGCTGTACTGGATGGAAAAATGGCAATCTGGATTAATTTACATGTTTCTAAATTAAAGCTAAATAGAACATCACCCAGTTATACCCAACTTTACATCTGGTTATGGTCTAACTGACGGGACAAAACAGTTTTAGTATTTGTTTTTATTCTACTTATTTCATGAGAATTGCTTTTTATGACGGCACTGTAGACTATAATGTGTACTTTAACAAGTTTAAATAATAATATAAAAGCAAATTTTTCATTTGTTAGCTTCCTGGTTATGCCCCAAATTTCCTAAATGACAAGCCTAGTAAAAAAAGATGTAACTGAAATGTTAAATCTGAATATCTATTTTCACAGTACAAATAGACAATTTCATCAAAAGAAACTGGTTATTTGATTATTTTGTGATGTATCTATTACTGAGAATCAAGGTCTGCAGGTATTCTATTCATTTGACACGTACAGTAAAGTAAAGATGTGGTAAAGTTAAAAGATGTACAGCAGGAAGATACTGAACTCTGGCTGCCTGGTTCATTGTCAGCCAAGAGTTAAATTTTTATGATTTAAATATCACTACATGTGATAGATCCATATCTTGTGCACTGTATTTTCTATACATGAAAAATGTGTGTGTGTCAAACTATCAGTATGTTTCACCTCCTAAAACCTAATAGGCTATGACTGTCTCCTTCTAAACCCATATATACTCACCATTCATGGTCATTTTTCAGTTCTTGCTATACAAACCTCTGCAGTAGAAATGGCAACTTTAAGTAACCTAGGAATCAATCAAACGTTTCAAGTCAAATTAGAATACCAACAAGATACATATTCTTTTACAGTAAGTAATTTTTGAGGAATTTTATAACATTCAGTTTTGGTATAGAAAATGCCAATTGAACCCTAAGTATGCATCTTCAGACTCACATCTTTTCAAATTAGTGTGAACTGAACAGATTAAATTCTGGTAAACAAAGAATTAAAAATTCTGTATGGTATTAATACATAAATTGTTATTTTACATTGCAAGTAATGAAAAAACTGACACTTGTAAACAGATTCACTTAAACATTTCACTTGCAGGCTTGCCAACATGTAACATTCACTGTTTCACTCAATTAAAAAAAAGCAATCACTGATATAAATTTCACCAGAATTGTATATTACAAAGTCCTTTCAGTATAATACTGTTGAGACAATCAAGTATCCTGAAGAACATGGAGATAATTAACACATGAATTCCAAGATCTTATCAACCTCTCAATTTCTGTAATTTACATAATTTTTAACAATATTTTCCAGTTCACAAGGCATAAAGTTTTGCTACAAAAATATTTCAAAGTAATATCTCATACTATCTAAAATTTAAAGATTTGAACATAACATTTGAAGTATAATTTTACCTGTTTTGTATGGGTGTGAAATGATCTCACATTAAGGGAGGAACACAGGTTGAGGGTATTTGAGAACAGAGCGCTTATAATATTTGGACTTAAGAGGGATGAAGATACAGGAGGCTGGAGAAAAGTGCATGAGCTCCATAATTTGTGCTCTTCACCAAATAACATTAAGATGATCAACTCAAGGATGGGATGGGTGGTGCATGGAAAGAGTATAAGGAGATAGAAAATGCATATGAAATTTTCACTGAAAAATACAAAGGGAACAATGTTCAGAAGATCTAGGCATAGATGGTAGGATAATATGAAAATGGGTCTTAGAGAAAGAAGGATGGAGGGAGTGGAATGGATTCATCTAGCTCATGATAAGGACCAGTGGTGGACTCTTTTGAACATGACAGTGCAATTTCTGGTTCCATGAAAACGAGAGTTTCTCCAGCTGAGTGTACTATTACCTACTCGAGAAGGACTCGGCTTGATCACAGCGTAGTTAAATACATATTAAGCTGCTTCATAAAATGGACATATATTTTCTGAATGTCCAAGTGTTGAATTTTTAAATTCTAATCAGACTTAAATTATAAGCTGATACATAAAAAATCTATGCTAGAGAAACTGAAACTGTTATATACTTTCATCATTAATTTTACCTCTTATTTCATGAGAAGGCTTGTAATTCTCTTGTGTAACACTACAGAGTGTAAAATACCTCCATTATTAATTTCAACTTATTCAAAGAAATGTAGATGTCAGATTCTATATGTAGAATGCCATGATCTTTGCAGTTATCAGTAAATGTTGAGTTTTATAAACCTAATCTTTGTACGCATATAAATTTCGCAATTGTTTAACAAACTTCAGTTACATCATACACACAAGTTAATTTGGTCCCTGATACCTTATTATGAAGAGGGCTGTCCATATGGAAGATAAACTGGAGCTTGGGCAGTCACATTTTGATAACGGGGGAAAAAATCTTTGTTTGATGTTGTTGTGTTTTCAAATAAGTATTACGAGCAGAATGTATTTTATGTTAAGGTTGTGATTTCAGTGATATTCATTACAACATGTGGCAGACCTTTCAAAATCAGGAGCACAACCTGCTTGCAACATTCTACTAGTCAGACAAGTTACTATAACCATATACATACATAAATACAAACAACTGAAGTGTTACTGGATGTCACGATTCCCTGACAGTCTTTTTATTACTCAGAGTTGACATATGGCATCCAAACTTTTATCTTAGAATACAATGACCATTTACAATGTGGCCACCATTTTCAAACTTTCTTCTATTCTCTTATCTCACGTCTTTTAACCACCTCCTTAGCGATCATTTATTAAGCATATTCATTTTTTTTAATATTCGCAGGTATCCAGCATTTACCCATATGTAATATATACACAATACCATCTGCTTAATTTGATCAACTTTTCCTGTAGTACTTTTACTTCCTCATTTCATATTTCATACCTTCTTATTCACATCTTAATACTGAAGAGTAACTTCATCTCTGCTGTCTGTAGACTACCTACACTGATTACACAGAGCAATGAATGAGGATAAATGTGAATCATGAACTCGGAGGAAGAATGTGGTTATGGCCTACTTCAATCCACTGGAGTCTTAACACTGAGGTCTACTTGTGGGCAGCCAGGATGACCACAGAGTTACACCATGCCTGGAGGTTGTGTTCCCTTGTGCAAACAGTTCTGACCTGCCATCTGAATGGGTGCTCCAGGCTTCCAGGTGGAGAATCAAACCTGGGACTCTACAGAACAGGAGTGCCAACAATGCAACTGCAATGTTTGCCCCTCCATAGAGGCAATCTCAACAAGTGATGATGATTTGGATTGTGGATTCTATGTTGTGACATCTTACAATCATATACATAGTTACAAATATTTCAGAAGAATATGCCACCTCCACCTTCAGGGTATAAGTCAGTAGAGATCTAATGTTGCTGGGTTATATGGAGATGGTGGAGATGTCAGGCTGAAGGAAACAAGATTGGTCAATAAGAGCGAGGAATGCAGAGAAAAGAGATGGAGTCTTTGGTGGGCTAACACGAAATGGGGAACAGGAACGGCCATATGCAACCACCTACATCCCAGATATACTTCTACCCTGAATATGAATGTAACAGGATCTTTTGAAATGTTGGGAACACATCCTGGTGGTACTAGTATTAAACACGAACAGCAATTTTTTAAATCATTTCAAAATTCAAGTAGCCTGATGAATCTACATATTGTTATGGCCCAGAAGATCGCAATTTGAATTTTCACCACCCACAAAACCTCAAATCTTAATCAGTTAAGATGTTTCAGAAGCCACCATCTGTTGTAAAATGTATCTGTATTCTGTGTCAAAATGTTGAAACAATCCAGTGATCCAGAAAAATTAGTTTCTAATGCACATGTTCTAAGTTTTAAATCTTAGCAAACAGGGGCCAACACAGAGGTATATGTCACATGCTACCACTGGTATGTGAAAATACAGTATTATAAATATTTAAGAATTATGATAAGTCAAGAACCATAAAGGAGTGGCAGAGTCTACATTAAAATATTGGATTCAATATTTCGCTCAAAATCTTGTCACTTTCTACTGAATATTAATTAGTATTACTGATCACATCAGTAATTAAATGTTGAATCTACTCTTTTTTACAGAATAAATTAATATTGGTGTCCATATTTCTGTCCAACCAATCATCCATTCCCTCACATTCATCTTTACACATATTTCTTCACATGCATGCAGTCATCAATGCAATTTAAGTATAGAAAAGTTCACATCTATTAATGCTGGAATAACATATCTGATCTAGAATTACTCAAACATATTTGTAGCACTTAGTACAAAACATCTCATTTGATATCACTTTTTTGTGCAGGCCTGGAAAAAGAACATGTAACGATCAGTCACATCCAAGTATCTTACATCCGTGTCCAGAGCTCCAAAATGACCATTCCCTCACTAATTGAGTTAACAAAAGCTGATGCTAAGAACAAAAATATCTGTATTAAGTAAGAAGATTGTTGGCAAAGTTGTAAGTATCTCCGATACTCTCTCTATGTCGTCTATAAATATTTTTACGTAAGCAGTGTCTACCTGAACGCAATAACAGATGTAACCATTACACAATAATATGCCATGCACATCTTACACTAGGGAAATAGTATGTGTGAACATACTATGTCATACCACACTGTGTGAAAAATTCATGTTCTAGTCCTGCACATGTTCTATGTAAATGCTAAAACAATATGCCAGACCATAGTAAAGATGGTACTGGGCCACAAAATTTGATGAACATATATTCTTAAAAGTATAAAAAAAGGATCCAGAAATGAAATGCTATCTCCTTCTTGGATCCTCTATTTATCGGTACAACATATTAACTATCAAACCTATGCAGCAGACTTAAAAAGTCACACTCAATACTTTAAATTGTGATCAAATACATTTTTGTACCTAAGAAATGATTTGCCTTTATTTTGCAATGTACACTAATATAAAAACCTAGTTTCTCTACAGGAGAGACAATGCTAATTCTGCATTAGTTGGTTCAATGTACATACTTTGAAGCTGAGCATAGAACTATTTTGATTTTCTAGCTGTGGGGCTGTCAGGCGGTGTAAGAGAAATTGATTCCGATTTGGCAGTCAGAGATCTCCGAGCTGTGGTCTTGAATGAAAGTTTCTTGAGGGGTCGAGGTGAAATACCATGTAAACCAGCATCAGATGAAGCACATTCACTGCTTGCAAACCACACTCGAACTCCGTCTGTTCCTGGAACATACGTTAACAAACTACATAAATATAGCACAAACTGACTGACTAGTCACAGACGTATTTTGTATTTGGCAGGAGAACAGTATGAGTACTGACTACAGCAAAAGTTGTACTTTTGGAGTCTAGCTGCCACTTGTAGATTTAAACAGGAAAATCTGTCACAAAATTGTCAAGGGTGTAACAAAAGTTACATACAACTGCAATATGTGTAATTGTTAAGATATGTGTTATATGGACATCGCCCCCTCACCTAATGCTTATCATATAATTTTACAGCATATGAACTGAATGCGATGATCAGAAAAATGAAAAATGTCACTACGGTCAGAGATATTTTTCACTCATATCATTTGTCAATATGCACGCACCCCGCATACGGTTGTCTTGGCCTGCAGCATTACTGCTGCGGTACCCAAATCGATGCTGGTGAGAATCAAGCAATGCCGCAGCCAAGGTAGAGCTCGACGTAGCTGTACAACTTGGCTCAGGACTGCGAGAACTCAATGAAGTGCCTGCCAACAAACGGCAGCAATGGCTCAAATGTGATGCCCAAACTATATAAGGAAGGTGCAAGGGCCATGCTACATTCATGCATTTACAGCTGTGATCCTCAAATTTTCAAGAGGTGTCTTGTGTGTAAATTTTCCTAATGGCAGATTTCATTAGAAACAATAACCTAAAAACAGTGCATGAATATTAAGTCAAGGTGAGAATTACCAGCATGCAGAGAAATATAGAATATGAGACTTGAAGTTCTCAGGGCGGTGAAGACAAACATTAACAAATATAGTACGTACATATAAAATGGATGTAAACTGCCAAGTACACACTGAAGCAAAGAGAATTAAGCAGATTAATTTCAGTTATTTTTATAAGAAACAAAAAAATGCCACTGTAATAGAAAAGTAACACATTTCTTACCATTAATGCTTCAAGAAGTACAGGATCATATCAAATACAAAGATATGTGTCAGCAGATACAAGTAAGAAGTTGAAGATATAACACACGATTAAAGCTTTTTTTTTTAGTTTGAGAATCAGATGTCAATGAAGTTAATAAACTGATATACACAAAAAGTGTTTTCATCAATAACTACTATACCAGACTTCAAACAGGAAAGTATATTAGTGAGTCTGACACAATGAGAGGTACAGCTTCAAGGTTACAGCGACGCAAACTTCTGCTGAATGTGACTTACAGTTAATGCTTCGGAATGTGTGCTACTTACCTGATGAGCGATTTGGACCAGGGCAGAAAGGTGACACAGTCTGAACTGGAGAATAAACCTGTGCTGTAAACTCTTCAAATGTTGTAGCATCCTTGTGGTTACGAATGACTGTCTCTAGAGACTTAGCACGTTCTTCATAACTGAAAAGAAGCACCACATGTCGATTAGGCATGTTCTCTTCCTTAAATTTCAAAACAGGTATTAAAATTGGACAACTACTGCTTTCATGTGGAATGCAAAGTCCTTCTTCAAAAGCTAATAGTTACTCAACTGGCCAAGGATTTCCCCCACCTATTATGGAATATGAAAGTTGATCACCGTGTTCACAACAGCCTGCTACGTTCATGTGGAATACTTTGTATAAGGATGATCAATCAGCTTTTAACTTCACGTTCAACAAGTTCAGAAAACTTATCACTATTTTCCTTCAAATATTTCAATATATATAAGATAAATAAAAAAGTTTTGCATTGCTATGTGCAGCGGTATCTACACTTACTAGTTTTGGTAGAATGGCAGCATGCTCCTCTTTGATCTTGATGCACTGATGGCTGACGCCCGCACCAGCCCAGGCAGTACCTTATCATCTACAATCGATTCATTAAATAACGGGCCAAAGTAAGGAACCTGGAACGAAGTCCTCAACCTATTATCTTCATAAAGCTCAGTATTTATATATACAAACTAAATAATTGCCAAAGAGCAGGTAATTTTTATTCATATCTTATTCTTTAACGCTGTCTTCATCTTGAATTTCAACACACGACATATTTTAATTAAAAGAAAATACTATGGAGCATTGTATTTGGGTAAGTCATAAACAATATACATTAAAAAATCACATACCTCAGGCTTTCGAGATACTTGGATGCGGTACAGCCTATTAGGTAGAGGGTAGATAACAATAAGTACATCACAGAATTCAGTCGGTATGATACCACGTCTATAATCACGGGAATGTTCCGACCACACGATGTGCACTTCGTCATTTCCCAGGTGACGAGTCTAGACAGAAATAATCAAATTTAAAAATGCTAAACCATGAAGCAAAATATTAATTTAATTACCGAAGAAATAGAGTATTTAAAAAGGTGTGCCAGTTATTATAACGGCACTTTTACAGCAAAACAAGAATAGTAATAGTCAAATGCACACCTGGTGGCATTCAAAAGGTGTGTTTCATACATGCATGACTCTGGCTTCCATAAATAAATGTGCTGCATACAAGAAATTAAACACAAAGGTAAAACACTGTTTACCTTTTGCAGTAAAGATTCCTGGCTAGAAGACGGCATCCTAGTGGCCACATGAAATATGACCTCTAGGAATGATGTGGCATAATATGGAGCAGTTTCTCCAGTACTTTTATTGCGCTGCAAGCCTCCCAAGAATCCTGTATGTGATTCCAATTCAACCTAGAATAATTCAGACACCTTACAGTATTGTAAGAAATATGAAGTTATAGATGCTGGCATACTACAGTTCACAAGGCTCAATTCAAAGCTGAAAACAAATTAAAAATTCACAAAACTTGCTTATGATGGACTTTGAAAGGACCTGAACAATTTCTTCTTGAATAAAATTCCATTTTCTTCTGAGTAAAATCAAAATGAGGCAGTACATACATCAAGTATTTATGTATTCACAATTCATATATCAAAGAAATTCATGCTACACACGTACACTACAATGTTACTAAACAGTACATATTTTCCAATTTTCTTTCTTGCCTTGCTTTCTTAATTTTCCCAGTTGTCTATAAAAGTATTCTGCACAAACGGGATCAGTTTCTCTCATTTACGATACAAACATTTCTTCTCAGATAAACTCCAAGAACACAACACAAAATAATAAATATTCCAGTAACTATACCCCATTTTGTTTTTATTTTGAATTCCTTTTTTCGCATTAAGCTGTTCATATCAGAAATAAATTTCATCTGGTTTTTACGTGCATTCTGAGGACCAGTTATATTTTCTGACAAAGGTAAGTTTCCAGTTAATCAATGTTTCACTTTATCACTTAAAAGACAAAAGATTTATTACAATTTATATTCAAAACTCTTAGTATTGGGAATATTGTAAAAAATCATGAAGCAGTGCCTCATCACACTAAAATTTTAATTTTAAATAATTTGGTATGTTTGCTCATAACTTACCTCCCATGCCAATCCTGCTATAAATTCCTCATAAGCCTGACTTCCACATGTGTTGGACAGAATAGAATTCTTGTCTTCCTGACCTTCAGCCACATACACAACAGCAATTTTATGTGTCTCCCGACATCGCTGCAAATTCCAACATAAATTAGGTAGGGTACATAATAAATTCATTCATACTTACATATAAGTCAAATTATTTAAAGACATATTTTGAAGCTGGTATAAAAATTAATTAACTTCATTTGTAAAGACAAAATGAAAAAGAAAACTGACTTCATCAACATCCACAATTTAAAACAAGGAGTTCCAAAAAGAACTCATAAAGCCCATTTTACTATCACACAGTCTTCTAAATCCAAAAATTATCTCATGGGTTGTCATGCTGGACTCCTTCAATAAGAATTCCTTTACTCCTCGCAACTGTACAGCATGTCATGATAGCCGTCATTTTCTTTTTGAGAAAAACTTCCTATGCAAGTACAGACCATTTCCACATTAAATGAATCAGATATAACCTCAAAGTTTTTCACCATCATTACATTAGTAACCATAGACTCATAAATGATATTATCTTAGAAAACCTGATTGTGAAATGAATTTAATACTCTCAGTACTGTACCCAAATGACAAGTTTTTGTGGCGATACTAATTAACCCTCAGAATTTCTACAGTTGAATGTATGTTTCTGCTCAACTTGAGGGTGGGTTGGTGAGTGAACGAGAGAGATTACTCACAGAAAGATATAAAAAGAAAATAAAACAAAAAGATAAAACCTGACATTACCTGAGTGTCAAGATTACGCAGTTCTCGTAGCAGTTTCTCATTCTTTGACAGCAGGTGAAGATGTGAACGACGTTCCCAGCCAGCAAGGCCCAACTGCGAGAAAAGTAGCCGACAGTGCTGAAAGGGTGAATGCGATGACTGATGAGGAAACGTTGTCATGCATCCTGCTTGCATCCTAGAAGAAAATTATGTACAAACATAATAAAAATACATCATAGCACTTAAAAAGGGATTCTCTGGCTGACTTAACGTATCATATTTATGCTTAATATTGTCCATTATCTGAAACATATCAAATTTACTACAGCCAAACTGCATAATGACAGGCTTCATAATATACACTCTTTTCCCAAATATGATTAGGATGATAAGACGGGTGGGGAATGTACATCTATATATTCCTATACCATCTTTATAATATAAGGTAAGAATGAGTATGTATTAACTCAGTTTCTGCTCAATTTATCTTGACTTCCATACCTAAGGAAACTCAAAAATGAGCTAGCAAAGGGGTATGGCTGGGCACAGTGGTACAAGTAAAGACCAAACCAAGTTACAAACTGCTGATTCTAACATGAAAATCCAAAAATATAAACACGACACTCACATAATATCTGCTGAATGGCGCTGTAAATACTCCTGCTCTGCATTTCGTTGGTTAAGTACCATGGTGATGGTGTCTTCCTCTACTTCCCTTGTCAGTGGAGGGGGTGGAGGTGCAGGAATGTTACGAGGGGTGTCCAGACTCTCCAAACATTCTGGACTTGTGTGACCTAGATACTGCAGAAGCTGTACCAAACAGAAATACAAAAATAATGTAAGATAGACAGTGACTACATTACAAATATAAACTAGTATTTAAAAATTGAATTCAAATTCAACTAAAAAATATGGAGCATGGAAAATGTGTTTAATTTATTTATTTATTTATTTACTTCTGATTTACACAACAGCACTATCAATAGATGAAATTATACAACACTGAAATATGAGTTTAGGAATTAAATTATTACACATAACAGCCAAGGGAGATAAAACCAAAACTTTCAAACCACCATTTGGATGAAACTACATGATTTAAACATCAAACTATGAAACCATAAAATTACAGAAAGAATGGGTTTACTAAATTCTATTTTGGATGACACAAGAACAAAACAATCACTATGGTATGGACATGTCCAAAGAATGAAGGCCAACTTAAGGCCCAAACAAGCGTTGGAGTGGATGACATCAGGAAGGAGCAAGAGGAAGACAGAGTATGAAGAATCAAAGGAATTCTGGGTGCAATGGCAGAGAGGAGTGGAAGCATAGAGAAGAATGGTGACCAAGAATCAGAAAACATCACTGACATTAATAAATAACAAGTACACACAATGTAATGAATCACATCAGGATTACATGAAAAACTAATTCTACACAACTATCTTTGGTACTTGGTAAAAAAGAGCTTACATCACATGTAATCCGAACTTTGCGGACCCCATGCAGAAACTTCATTGAAAATTTTAACACTGTTCAATGAAGTTGCATTCATATTTGTTTGCTTTCAGACATATACATACATCATCCAAGTTATCCATGTCTTCAGCTCCATTATCACAGGTTGGGAGTATATCCGGTGGGCGATGGCGCAATGTGTGCTGAGGAGGACTACTATGAAGTTCACCACCTACAAAACTAGATGTCAACATAGCCTCTTCTAACCTAGATGATACTGATATGGGCCTAGGCAAACCAGCAGTTCTAACTCCATCCTCTGGGAATAAGAAAGAAAAGTCAATCATACCTTATATCTGCAAATAAGACCTAGAGGAGCTGTGGTAGTTCGGTGAGTGTAGTGTTAGACTATGGACTGGATGATGGGTTCAGTTCTTGGAAGAGAATTTTTTTCTGGCCTCTCTGTCCAGACCAGCTCTAGGCCCACCCAGCCTCCAATCCAATGGGTACCAGAAGTCCTTTCCCAGGAGAAATGCATAATCACATCATGACACTCACTCTCATCTCCTACCAAGGTCAAGAATAAGAAGGAGCTATACCTCCTCTCCCCACAAGCGTCTCTATGGCATGTAGCAGGACAGCTTTACTTTACATAAGAAATAAAAGTCTGGATGTTTTCTAATTTAACAAGGAGTCTGGAAAAGAACTTGTGCCACCCTTTTGTAAATAATTCCATCCACACAACAAACATTTAATGAGTAATTCTAAAATTCTGTGACCTATTACAAGCATAAACTGTACTCATATAGAATCTCACTATATGAATAATTTCCACTTAAATTTTCACATGTCTAGCTCCAATAATTGCTTAGTTACAGCTCTCAATCTAAAATCTAACTACATATTCCATGTGGCTGCCATATTGTTTTACATTCTGTAAAAATATGAACTTCATACAAATTGCATATTTTTCAAAGATGTTACTGGTTCTATCACTATTCCCTCCGCAAGCATTTGCATTGCACCAACTTGATGATGGTACTGATGGGTAAGGCAAAATTATCCTTGTGCTTAAGCAATCACCACAAAATAAAAAAGTATGGAGGAGTGTGGGTATCCCAAGATGTTCTTGATAAATCCATCAGCTGGTTTAAATGTTATTAGGTCATTACATTCACTTCACTAGATTCCATTTCAGTAAAATCTAAATATCTCCCAAATGGTTTTGAAGCTGCGTAATAATAATAATAATCACTTTTTCCATGTACATTATTTATTGACTCCATCTCAACTATCTTGATTTAAGGATAAGGATATAGCAGATAATTTATTGACCAGGTGAGTTACTATCAGCTTCTGAAGCACTCTGCTCCATGGAATAATTAGTGAGCTGACTGACACTATTATATATTGCTAGTTTATGCCCTTTTACGTCCAAATATTCTCTTCAACATTTTGTACCCTCTTCTCTACACATAACAGAAATGAGAACGAAATTACTGGTCCATGATGTAAATTTAACAGCAGACATTTTAAACCCTTGAACATACCTGTTTCTTCTTTGGCATGTCGATGTGAGCATACGGAGTCCTCAGGACTGCAGTAAAGGATGGAAGCATCCCAAGATGCCTTCCCACTCAGGTCCCTTAAAATGACTCTCACTTGTGAGGGAGCAGTTCTCAGTCCAGCTGTTACCCCACCACCTGGCACATCCAGAGCTGGCAACTCGACTAATGACACCAGAAGACTGTTGCTCAATACGAAAAGCTGCTCAGAAAGAGATAAAAAATAAATACTGTTGCGACAAGTAAGTGCTTTACTGATACTGCCATAGAGACAGTCACACATCTAAGTAATTATAAACTAAAATAAATGAAGAGCTTCTCTCAGGAAGTAAAAGAGTGACAAAGTATTAAATACAAAATTATACAGAGAATAAAAATACCTAAGAGGAAGAAAATATGCCTATCTAAAAGTTTCTACCTGCCCACATTACCATATAAAGCAGAAACTTGGACACAGTGGAAGACAGATATTAGTAAATCTATAGATGTTCTCCTTTTAAAAATATCTCTAAAATTGTTGAGTTTAACAGAAATAAATAACAGTCAAATAAAATTAACTCCATGGAGATAAAAACCTTCATGAGAAGCTGATACGTGCTCAGCTCGCCAAGAAGGTCCCTGCCCAAAGGTCCAATTCAGTATACACAACAACCCACCACTGGACCAATCACCCATATCACAGCAAATTCAAATTATAAATGATGTGTTGCACAAAAATTATAGCTCAGTGAACTACTGAATATCAACTGGCTCCAGATGTTAATACCAAAAAAACTTTTAATGACCAGCACTAGCATAAATCTCAGTTTTTAGCAGACTTGGCATCTGTTCCAGTGTCTGACCATCTCTGTCCTGCCCTGACCTGGATATTTGGAGCAGAGAAGACTTCAGAACTGAGTTCATCTGCTGAGAGGCCAGGCACATCATCGTGTTCCACCACCATGGACGATAAGCGAGCGGCTCCAATTCCCATCGGAAAGTGGCCCAGATGGTTTATTAGATGCATCATCACCTGTAATGAATCAAACAATCAAACACAAGATACCTGGACACTTATCCAACATCTTAACCCCCCCTCGCTATTAGTTTAAATATACAGTGAAACCTCGATGCATCGTTTTCGGCGGGGGTGGGAAATAAAAACGATGAATGCGGGAAAACGATAGATGCGGGAAAGCATTAAAAATTTAAAAAAAACAATGTTTCTCTTTCAAAGTTACTTCTTTTTACCAAAAAAGTCTTTA